TGTTCAGAAGAGGAGAAAGACAAATATTGCTACATCCTGTATCTCAATTCCTACTCTTCTTGTTTATCTTTTCCTAGTAAACTTATTTAAACAGTACTTACTTAAACAATAAATGTAGATGGTATTTAATTGATTTGTCTGTTTTGAAGTACTGTTTCTGTTTTTTATTTATTGTAATTGCTATATTTAACCTTAGGATGCTCTAACATGTGCCTCATTCATTCATTCATTCATTCATTCATTGCTTCATTGCTTGGTGCTGTGCAGAAGACACAGGCACTGATATGAGCCCCTGGGGGAAATTCTGTGGCCTCAGTGAGAATGCAAAGCGTGTGAAGCAGCAACAGCGCGATGACTCCCTGCTCCAAACTCCTGCAGAGACTCTAAAGTGCTCCAGAAACCTCTGAGAATAACCCAGAGAGGGATTTGTTCTTCCTGAACTTCTGTGGGAGCTCCTTCAGGATCAATTCTTATTTAAAAACCCCAAAGCAGGACCCCAATAACAAACACTGAGTGTGCACAGAGTTAATTCCCTCTTGCTGCCCACGAGACCTCCAGTGCTGCTTCATTTGGAAAAATCAATGCTTGAAACCTGGAAAAAAATGATGTGCCTGCTGTTGTGGGGCACCCAGTGATGCCATGACAGTGGAGCCACAGCTTTGGGGTTGGTTTAGATAGGAAAATATGTGATTTCTACACTGGTTAAAATGTTATCCATTCATCATTTGAGCTGGGACAATAGTCTTGAGTGTTGGTCAGTGGCCATGGTGGTATTTGTTCCAAGGTGGGACTTGATGGTTTTGGTGCTCTTTTTCAACCTTAATAATTGTATGATTACAAAAAAGTAGTCAAAGATGATTTGAAAAAGCCTCACTGATTTCTCTGTAGATGGTAACTGGGAGTTCTGTTGGACTCTCTGGCAAATGTATTCCCTCCACCCTTTAGGTTTGTAGCTTAATTTGTTGTACTGAATAAATAAATCCTGTGGTGTAGTAGAGCTATTTATATCTAATGGAAAGGCTCACCTACTCTGTTCTTTTTCTTCCAAAAGTGGGAGTTTACAAGTGATTTCAAAAAAAAAAAAAAAAAAAATCAATCTCTTGACCTTTTCTAATAGTTCTCAGTTGTAAAGCATGTGACTTTTGTCTTGATATTTTTTACCCCTTGTTCTTTGGAAAGTGGTTGTGGAGCTCTTCAGACATGGCTGAGTAATATGTGGGCTCAGCAATGGCTTCTCTTCTTTATAGATCATCTAATAGAAAAGATTGCTTCTATTTCTGTTATTTATGATTGCAGTACTTCACTTTGGTCTCATCCATCTGTGTCATACATGAAAGCCATCAGTAGCAGTATTTTTTAGCAGAGAGCTCTCCCCTGACCATGTATCACAACAATCTCCACATAATTTGGAATAAAGCTGGAAATTCACAGTGGAGCCTTGTAACTCCAAGTGATGTCAATATATAGATATTTATGTATGTATTTTTGATAACAGTGTGTTTTTCTCAGTGCTGTGCCTGGACAGAACAGTGTTGAGTAGAATGAATTGCCCTCCATCATGTACCATAAATCCCACAATCTGCATCTTCAGATTGTTTGCTCTGAGAATGCACTGAGTGCTCCTTCCCCGGTTCTTCCTTGTTTTTGTGCTGCCCATTTGGCATTTCCTGCTGTCTGGGAGGGCAGGGAGCAGCCTGGGAGATGCCACATGGCAGCAGAGAGCGAGCAGTTAGCCTGGTTTTGCAGCACAAGGCCTGTTTTGTTCTCTGCATCCCTCCCTTTGTCCCTCCCTGGGCTGCAGGGAGCCTTTGGCCACAGCAAAAGTCCAGAGCTGCAGAGGATGGAAGCTCCCAGCCAGGTTCTATATATACACCACACATCAAAATCGTGCTGTCAAAACATGAAAATACCTCAATAATTTTCTTTTTAATTTTAGCTGTCAGCCTCGAGATGCCACTTTGCTCTTGAGCTACTCTGCATAATGTGTGCCAGCTCACTTCAGCTCATGGTAAAGTGTAAAGGAACAAATTTCCTGGCAGTTTCTGCAAAGCAGTGCAATACAACTTTCATTACATGAAGGTGGTGAACATAATGTGACTTCTTAACAGCTGCAGTAAGTGATGTGAAGCTCTTAACATCTTTTCAAAACAAGTAACAAGTGAGAAGTTATTTTTCATCTCTATTCCCCCCAAAAAAATAAAAATAAAAATAAGACATGTTATTTTAAGCAGATGATACTTTGTTTGCACTTAGCTGAAGTAAGTAAATTTTTACAGGAGTTCTCCAGATCTGTGTTGTTCTGTGAAATAAAGAAAACACTAAAAACAAATGCTAAATACACTCCAATGGCTGGGTTTCAACATGAAAATTTGGATGTTAAATTTCATGTACAGAAATGATGGCTGTCAGATGGATTTCAGCTGACACTTGTTCTTTTCCCATTGGATTTATGATGCCATGAGAGTTGCTTGTTGCATTGTTTATTTCTGTGTTTGGTTCTCATTTGAGTGTTCTCAAAAAGTGACACAGGTCTGATGATTTTGGATCACCTGTTAAGGAGCCAGGCTCTTTGCACATAAGTGACCCTTTACAAATGGGAAATACAGGAAAAAGAATCAAGGCTATTTATGTTGAGTTGCCCACATCAGGCAATCTTTCATTAGGCTGGACACAAATTCAGTTTTGAGAGTTCAGTATCCGAAGCTGAAGTAACATCAAAGCTTTAGCACAGTTTTGAGGTGTAGCCCCAAGTCCAAAAGGACAAATCCTCTGTGGTTTGCTTACTCTGGCAGCTGAATCCTTTCCATGGCAGTGTGATGAGCATCATTTCCAGGGGAGTTCACAGCTAAAGTTCACAGGCTGGAGCAAACAGTGGCGCTCCTCTTCCCACATCTTTATCTTGACGCTTCAGTCATATTAAAAACAAGGTTGACATTGTCTCTGGTTGAACGAATTCCTTCACACGCTCTGGGAGGCTGCCAGCTCCCAGACAGGACGTGACTGTGGTGGGTCAGAAATTCTGCCCAAAATAGATGCCCAGATAACGCAGTTTTCCTTACACACTTTGCTGAATAAAGGCAGAGCTGGAGCAGCCAAAGGTCCTAATTGGCATAGCAGGCATTGGTGAAGCTGCTTCATTCTACAGATTTCCAGATGTTCCCATAATATTTCTCAGATCTTTTGCGTTGCTTATCATATTATATTTTGCAACTTTTACAAAAGTTATTAGTTAACGTCTTTATTTTCTGAAGGATATACCAAGAATTTATTTTTTTTTTATATTTCTTTGCATGTGGTTTATTCCTGAAAACACAAATCAGTCCATTGTCCTTGAGACTGGAAGATCTGGAACCAAAAATACTATCTGAAAGTAAAATATGACTCAGCTGCAAGTAATGTTAATGGTAATTGCCACTTAGTGATCTTTCAGTTGGTAGAAAACAAACCATCAAAATGATAATTGCAGGATTCACTGGGATGGAGGTTGATTAACGAACGAGACAAGCAAGTGGGCAGCAGCCACTGAGCCACAGCTCTGGCTCAAGTGGAGTGGGCAGAGCTAATCTGGAATCACTGGAGCAAAACCCACTTCATTCCCTTTGCCCAAAGAATAAACATATGCCATGTCGGAAATAGAGCAGTTGGAAACAATTTCTGCATGGGATACTGATGACAAATAGCTGGGAGAGAGAGAAGGGTGATTAGACTTCTTTAAAGGCAGACTTAGGGGTGGGAATGAGGCCAGCCTGGCATTAATGGGATCATTAATGATGATAAGGGTGACCTGCAGGTGCACCAGGTCACAGCTCTCTTCACTGTTTATTTATGAAATAAATTCATGTGTGTTTTAAATGGGAAAGAGAAGTGTTAAAGTTGCAATGAGCTCTTTAGAACAATTTAGATAATTTAATATGTTTTCCCCTGAAGTTAGGGAAATTCAATGTTTGCAGTGGTTATACAATTCAAGTCTATTTTATTCTTGAGATGTGGGAAATAGTGTGTTTTTATGTATTGGAAACGCAGAATTTTAAGTATACTGAAAATGCATTACCCATAGACAAACTGTGAATTACTTTAAAATCATTTCATTATAGTATCCTGACTCCCTCTTTGATGGTGTTTATTACAAGGTTTTTTCAATCTCAAATCTTGATTGTCTTTCTTTGAAATGTGGAGCAACTTCAAAATATCTGAACTAAGTTCAATATTGTGAAAGAACCCATAGTGGGGGTGAAAAGCTGGAATAATGACTCTTAAAGTAAGCACCCTCGAGCAAATTGTTCCTTTGGTGTGGTTTGGAGGGACCTGTGTGTCTTGTGCTGTGTGACAACCTATGGCCTCCATCCCATGGCAGGAGCTTTTTTATCTCAGAAGGAAAAAAGTTCTTTGAGATCATTCATGAATTTTGAATGGGCTTCACATTGCAATCAGGAGCTAATTTTCTTTTCCCATTATCTCCTGCCATTCAGTGCTATGAGAACACTTTGTTCTCTACCACAGCCTCACTCAGAGCGAGCTCAGGTCCCTCACAGAAGTAATTAACTGGGAAAGACTTTGGATTTTCATAGAGACCTTCCCCAGGCGTGCAGGGGAACAAATCCCACACCCAAGGATTGGTTTCATTCCAGCTTCACATTCCTCACTCTTGCCTCCTGGATGCACATTGACAGTTCCTGTGACAGAGCAGGATTTAGATTCAGGAAATGCGGCTTCGTGGAACTGCTCATCCCACACTGTATTTGAACACTGTGGGCTGTATTCAGCATTAAAGATTTATCATTGTGTGGAGTCTCTTGGTTTTTAAATGTGAATGCTTATTTCCTCGTTAATCACAGGGTTTGCCTGATGTCTTGTGTCTTTATTTCACATGGGGCTCTGCTTTCTTTCATTGACTTAAAAGTGAAATATTTAAGTTTTATTTTATATTGGTTACAAAATTTAAAAAAAAGGGAACCCCACCACCAACCATTCTAACTGTTGTTTCCCCTTTTTTTTGCCAGTTTGCTGTTTTGTGGTTCATAAGAGGTGCCATGAGTTCGTTACCTTCTCCTGTCCTGGGGCTGACAAGGGGCCCGACACTGATGTGAGTACACTGACATTTCAGACACTGCTTTACACGGATTTCTGTTGTTCCACCCACCAGAGTGGTTTAAAAAAGGCCTCAATGGGTTCTTCATGACACATAATTGAGTCCAAGTGGGTCTTAACAGTTGTGAAGAGAACATTTATGGACAGAAAAATCTATTTTTGGTAAGAAAAGTAAGCTTGAGTGTGTGACCAAGAATAATATCCTCAGAATGTGACAGCCCTGAGGCATTCACCCAGCCATGAATCAGCATTTTATTTTCTCTGTTTTATGCTGGATGTATTAGACATTAACAATTCCCAGAAAGGCTGGGACTTTTTCTGAGCTTTCTTTGTATCTATCTTATCTCAAAGTGTATCTTTTGAGCTGTCTCTGGTCCTTGTCTCACTGCGCACAAGGATCTGTAGCTCCAGTTAAATGACAATTTCATCTTGAGCCAGCTGGCTTATTGGGTTTTTATTTTATTTTCATGTTTGAGCTAGTCTAGCAGTCTGGATACTCCCCTTCCATCCAGCTCTGTCAGTACTTCTGTAGCATTTTTGGTCCACAACCAGTTTTTCCTCTCAGCACATCTGCCTGAGTGGTGAGACACATGTGCAGGATCTTTGTGTCACCCCGCTGAAATAATAAACTGATCTCATTTGTTCACATAAAAATAACATTTCTTTGGGTTTTATAAATCCCACTTTACAGTGAAGTAATTTAACATCTGCTTATGGGAACAATACATTCCAAGTGTTCTTTGTCTGAATGGCTCTGTTTTGTTTCTTACCACATATTCATGCTCTAGATTGTAGGCTATTATCTCCTCTGATAAAATGCACCAGAAGAATTTTCCTGCTAGGTTTTAATGAGCTTCTCATGAATTGTTTCAATATGCCAGCCAGGAGGTCCGTGAACAATATATGGGCAGAAGCCACAAGGGGTCTTGGAAAATTTCAGATATTAAAAAGTTCTCTCATTTTTAAATTTAAATATGGGGAAATGTTGAAGAACTGAAAAGAATTTTTAAAACTTCAGTTTTTAAACATTTCACTTAATTTATATTAAATTTATATTAGGTGCAGAAGAAAAGTGCTAAAGTTAGGAGTGTAATTGCTCTGTTCAGTATCTCTTGTTTAGCTGATACAGACTTTAGTAATAAAACACTCATTAGGCAAGAGCAAGAAACCAAAATTATTCTTCATACCTTTGTATTTTTGAAAGTTCCTGAATTCTTTAAGCGTTTGCAGTGAGGCATTTGGCTCTTTACATGTAGTATTACAGCTAAAGCAGGCTCTTGGAATTTGGGAGTTGTGTGTTTGAAGTGCCTTGAGCTCCAGAGAGGTGAAGCCCAGCTCAGCCCTGCATGGGTGATGTTCTCATCCCTGATTTGTCTGGAGGTTGTTGATGGCAAAACCCCTGTTGGACCCAAAATTTCAGCAAAAGTCTGAACAATTAAAGGATATCTACTCAATTCCTCATTCTCTGAACATAGTTCATACCTACAAGCAATGATTTGTAGGTATGAGCTATATACCTACATTTTCTAATCAGTAAATTATTTCTGATTTACTTTGGTCAGTCCTAAAACCACAAGGAGGATAACCCAAATCTGGTTTTAGCTTGGTGCTCAGTTGTGCTGCAGGATATTGATGGAAGTTCCTCTTCATTGAGAGTTTTAGTGGTGGCATTCATGAGCAGCTCTGTTGTGTCCATAATGAATGTTTGGCTCTTAAAAGTGTTCCTGATTATTTACTTTTTCTGTAAAATGGATATTTGGGATCGTTCACCTGAAACTCAGGAATGAGAACACACATTTGTGTGTGAGACCATTTAATTTTACTGAGAATCTTTTCGTGGTGACAGAATCTGTGGCAGGTTGTTAATGGTCTTTCATATTGCTGACTGCATTTTGTGATTCGGGTTTTTTGCCTCGGTGATTAAATAAATCAGCCTAATGCCTCCTTTCTGTATTTGGGTTACCAAATGATCATTTTCAATATTTACACAGCAGCAATAGCTCAAAAACAGTTTGAAGATTAAAAGTAATCGGAAAATAAATATGTTTTATTAGAATTGTGCTACATTAGTGGGTACTATTACACAAAGAGGATTGTAGAATATTATACTTTAATTTACTGAAATGTTTGACTATAATTTCAACCCTTTTACAATTCAGCACCTTATTTCTATTCCAATTGTTACACAAGCTTTGTTCTGAAATGAAGTGTGCTGTAAAGCTTATCATAACATTTAGCAGATTTTTAAATATTAAAACATCTTTTTCTAAATTACTTTGTGCAGGTGCACAATTAATTTGTGTACTCAAATGCTCCAGTGCAACCTTTCCATTAATTGTAAGAGTAATACTGTCATTAATAAAATTAATTTTCCAGAGCAATAATTACAATAATTATAATCATTATATAATAATAATTGTTGTGTGTCAGAATAATATTAAATTATGGTGCCCTGTATTTATATATTTTACATTTGTATATTTTATATACATTGTACATTTTATATTACATTTTAATATAAATGAGGCAGTCCTTGCAAAACAATGCCTTAATAAAGGTGAGTGTAAAAGAGGAAAGCTTAAAATGAGTCTCTTCTTGTTTTCCTCGTAATTGCTGAAATGTGAGGTTAAAATGTCTGTGTTTGTGCCAAAAGGAAAATAATACTTGGGAATAAAGTGCTCATCCCTGAGTGGCAGTGCAGGGACGGTGTCTGGGGCGCAATGTCCTCTTGCAGTGAAACAAGAAGTCACACGATCAAAAAAAAAATGGAATATTTCCTTATGACTTGGCAGGGTGTGAGCTCTGGTATCTTAGCAAAAAGCAGCTCAGGAAGTTGTTTTCCTGCTGGCTAACAGCTCTCTGGAGCTCAAACAGAAATTATTCATTTCTCTTCATGGCCACCTCTCCATGGTGATGCTGTTGAGTAGAATTTAACAGCTCCTGCTGCTGGTGCCCTCCAGAGTCACAGGAAGCGTCATCTCCACTTCAGGTGCTTGGTTTTGGAAGATGCTTGATGTTCTTAAAACTGTTTGAAGTCGTAGATGAAATACTTAAAACTTGGGTAAGTTAGTGTAAAAATGTACAAGCAGCCTCCAAAATGAAGTGCTTTATTAAAATGGGTTCAATATTGAGAGATAATGGGTCAGTTTCTTGAAAACTGAGTTAAATATTTGTTTTCTTTGTTAATGGAATTCAGTGACCAGAAGATGTCTTTGTTACATATTAAAATGTTCCTAATTGCATGCTGCATATAATTTAAAGACCTCAAGCATTAATTTAAATTGTTCTAGTGTATTATGTTTAATTTAAATTGTTCCAGTGTATTATGTTTTTAAGTACAAGTTTGTAAGACTTTGAGTGCACAAGAAACAACTCACAGATTGTGGCCTCTGGATCAGCACTATTTCCCTTTCAGATTATAACAAAGAATCCAAGAGAGGATTATGAGCAAAATAAATAGAAATTAAAAAGTGATAATTTAAATGAGAGCGAGTGAACTGTGATAGGATGTGAAATCTGACTGAACTTGGTGAGTTTTTAGTTTTCAAGCACCTAGGAGAGAATGGATGGGAAGATCCAGATGTGTCCTTACGTAAAATCAAACAGCAAAGCCCTCTCATCATTGCAGGGTAGCTGAACCCCAGGGATGTCAAAGGTGACATATTTCAATTTCCAAGTTATTATCCTCTTGATACTGAAATTATTTGGGAGCTTTATTATCTTAAGCACATTGGAAAGCTCAGTGTGAGTGTCCACAGCTGTGGGATGCTGCAGGAGTTGGGTGTTTTCATCAGTGGGTTGGATATTGGGATAATGCAGTTCTAGAGTACAATATTTCAGATTTTTTTTTTTTTCCTGTGTGCTAAGATAGAATTTATTAAAGCAAAACAAAAGAAATCACTTGCAAGACGAATAAAAAATAGAAAAAGCAAAACTAAAAAATACCTGATATATGATCATGAAGACAGTGCTTCAGAAGAAGCTGAAGCAGGACTTTGAGTGGGTCATAATCTCACTGCTGGCCACCCCTGATACAAAGGCAGAGACACGACAGAAATTCTTACTCTGATTTTCAGGGAGATGTTTTATGTTGAATTCTGCAGCTCTTTGTTTGGAATTTGGGAAAGAACTAAAGTGTTAAAGGGCTTCAAAGAACCATCTTTGAATATTTTTTTTGTCTCTTAAACTGTGACCAGGTCTCTCGAGGGCAGCTTCTGGCAAGGGACAAATAACTCTGTAACAGTGCAGGTTTTTGGCTGTGCTGATGGGGAACTGCTGCAAGGGGTTGCCAAAAGAAAAAACAAAGATATTTTTCTTGGGGTTCCCTTCTCTCCACAGTGCTGTGGATATTCCCTGAATCCTCTGTGGGGAGATGGGACATGACCCCTGTCAGGCTCCACTGGGATTTTCATTTTATGCTTTCTGTGATTCTAGAGCTGGGAGGAAAAATATTGACCCTTAAAAATTCATGTGCTGGGGGACCAGTGGGAAAGTCTAATTGAGAAATGCTGATGTTCAGAGTGGCAGCAGTGGGTTGGGTTTGCCCTGAGGCTCAGGGAGTGCTGATGTCCACATTTGCTGCACTATTACACTGCTCGTTTGACGGCTGGGGCTCTGAGAGAAATGATTTGAAGAATCACCTCTGTACTAAGCCAGAATAAATTAATATAACTGGTCTGCCCTGGAGGGTTTAGGTGTCCTGACTAGATTTCTTTTTCTGTTCAGTTCCAGGAAATCCTGAAATATTTTTCTTCCTTTTTTTTTTTTTTTCTTCTTCCATTTTATTTCCCCCACTGGCATTTAATCATGTTTCTAGATCATATTTACATGTAGGAAGCTGGTTTCAGAGTGGAAAAAAAGAGTTGCTTGACTGGCCTAGGGAATTAAAAATACCAAACCAAACTCATGAGAAGAAAAGGCAGTAACTGAAAGCAGAGTATTAAGATTTACTGTAGAACTAGTTAAAAAGGGATTTTAATCAGAAAGCTTTGCAGT